CACCAGACATCCGGACCTTCGATACCCCCTCCATGCTCCACCCCTTCCTACAAGTCATCCGCTCCTCCTCCACCTCCGCGCCCATCACCTCGCTCGCCCTCATCGCTATAACCAAATTCCTGTCGTACGGTATCATTGGCCATGACTCTCCACGTCTACCAGAAGCTATGCAGCAGCTCTCCTCCGCAATTACACACTGCCGATTCGAAGCCAGCGACTCGGCTGCCGATGAGATCGTTCTCCTTCGTATCCTCAGGCTTATGGAAGTTATGATCTCAGGTCGCGGAGGAGAGGTCCTGGGTGACGAGAGCGTATGCGAGATGATGGAGACAGGCTTGAGCATGTGCTGCCAGGCGAGACTATCAGAGCTGCTCCGACGCTCGGCAGAGATTGCCATGGTATCCATGTGCCAGGTCATATTCCGCAGGCTGAAGACGCTGGAGATTGAATCGCCAGAGGAGCTGGACGCCATGGACGAAGAGTTGGAAGGAAAGGACGATCAAGATGGTCTGAGAATGGACCCAACCGCAAATGGCGAGGGGGACTCTGCGCAGCACAAGGTCGAGGCGCTCCAACAGCCAATCGATCCTGAGAAGGGACAGGAAGACAACGACAGTACCGCGAACCCTGCGAGTAGTACTCTAGATCTACCGGCAACCGCCGCGGATGGGCAGCCCCAAGCCCCTCTCGAGATCAAGCCTTATTCGTTGCCGTCCATAAGAGAGCTGTTTAGAGTATTGGTTGATCTGCTGGACCCTCACGACCGCCAACACACCGACACCATGCGCGTCATGGCCTTGCGCATCGTAGACGTTGCTCTCGAAGTCGCCGGACCGTCCATAGCGAGCCATCCCAGTCTGGCCAATCTCGCCAAGGACACATTGTGCAGGCACATCTTCCAGCTCGTCAGATCAGACAACATGGCCATATTGAACGAGTCATTGCGAGTTGCTGGTACGTTGCTGGCGACATGCCGGAATGTGCTCAAGCTGCAACAAGAGCTCTACCTCTCGTATTTGGTCGCATGTCTCTTTCCACGGGTTGAAATACCCATTGAGCCGGGCATCGAACCTTCTCTATACGAAGGTGTTCCAAGTGCACCTAGTCTGATCAAGCAGCCGCCGCAACAAAAGAGCAACTCAAGCGGTCGTTCAACTCCAGTGCCTGTCAAGGATCGGCAAAAGCTGGGGCTGGAGGGAGGCGCCCGAAAGCCGGATGCTCGAGAGGCCATGGTGGAGAACTTGGGTGGCTTGGTCCGGATACCTTCCTACATGGCAGAGCTTTTCGTCAACTACGACTGCGAGATTGACCGTGGAGATGTCTGCATGGACATTGTTGGTCTTCTCTCAAGAAACGCGTTCCCAGACTCCGCGACATGGAGTACTGTCAATGTACCTCCACTGTGTTTGGACGCACTGCTTGGCTTCGTGCAATCTATGGCAGATCGCCTCGACGACGAGCCTGTAACTGAAGGCTATCCAAGCGTTGAGTCACTCCGCGAGCAGCGGGCGCGCAAGGCGATCATCATCCGCGGTGCCACTAAATTCAACGAAAAGCCCAAGGCTGGTATCGCCTACTTGGCACAACAGGGAATCATCCGAGACCCAGATGATCCTAAATGCATCGCCGAGTTTGTCAAAGGTACTACGAGAGTCGATAAGAAAGTATTGGGCGAGTTCATCTCGAAGAAGGGCAACGAGGCGATCTTGAGCGAGTTCATCAACTTGTTCGACTTCAAAGGACTGCGCATAGATGAAGCGCTTCGACAGCTCCTGCACGCCTTCCGTCTCCCTGGTGAATCGGCCCTGATCGAGCGAATTCTGACAGAATTCTCTGAGACGTACTTCAATATGGTCAAGCCTGAGGGAATTGCCAACGGCGATGCCATCTATATCCTTACATACGCTGTCATTATGCTGAACACCGATCAACACAACCCCAACTTGAAGACGAAACGAATGCAGTTGGAAGATTTCACCAAGAACGTTCGGGGTGTTAACAATGGCAAGGACTTTGAACCTGAGTTCTTGCAAGGAATCTATGATTCCATCAAGAATCGCGAGATTATTTTACCCGAGGAGCACAGCGATCGAAACGCATACGACCACGCGTGGAAAGAGCTGCTAGTCAAGTGTCAGTCGACGTCCGACATCGTCATCTGCGACACCAACATCTTCGATGCGGACATGTTCGCTGCCACATGGAAGCCAATCATAGCAACCCTATCCTACGTGTTCATGTCTGCTACTGACGATGCGGTCTTTTCCCGCGTTGTGCAGGGCTTCGACCAATGCGCTCAAATCGCTGCCAAGTACGGCCTTACTGAGGCTCTCGACCGTATCATCTCGTGCTTGTCGTACATCAGCACATTGGCGCCCGATGTGCCACCAAGCACATCGCTCAACACCGAGGTGCAAGCCGACAAGAAGAGCGTTATGGTCAGCGAGACTGCTGTGCGATTTGGTCGTGACGGTAGGGCGCAGCTGGCGACCGTAGTTTTGTTCCAGGTCATCAAGGGTAACGAAGCATCGATAAGAGATGGGTGGCAACATGTAAGGTCTTCGATTTTGTTGTTCTTCTGTACAGTGCTAACAATAATAGCTTATTCGCATCATGGTGAACTTGTTCGTCAACTCGCTGATACCACCCTACTTCCTTTCTTTCCAGAAGACGCTCGCTCTAGCACCCATACCACTTCAGAACCCAGCACAAGTCATCGACCGTGCAGAGCGTCCAGCAGACACTGGCATCTTCTCGGCCCTGACATCATATGTGTCGAGCTTTGCCAATGACGAGCCTCCGGAGCCATCAGACCAAGAGATTGAGTACACACTTTGTACTGTGGATACTGTCAAGGAATGTCATTTCGAAGATATCCTTGCGAACATCAGCCAGTTGCCGGTGGAGTCTCTGCGGTCACTTTTGTCATCTCTACTTGAGCATCTACCTGAAGATGGTTCACCCAGAGTCATCGTTGTGAAGCCTGAGATACCTGGCGCAAGTCCGCGGACGACCGGCCCTAGACAGAAGGGTAAAGGTCCGCTGTACGACCCAAGTCTCGTTTTTGTCCTTGAGCTGGCGACTGTACTAGCGCTGAGGGATGAAGAGACGGTCAAGGAGCTTGCAAAGGATGTAACGGATGCTTTGGCGTCTGTCATCCGAGACGCTCCCAAGCATCACTACGTTGTCATTGCTCGGTCGGTGTACTACCTTTTGAGCCTACTCAAAGCGAGCAATGTAAGTCTCCACGCACTTCCATGAGATTCAATGCTAATTAATCCAGGACTATGACTTCATCCGTGCGCCAGTCCTTATGCATACATTCTCCAGTTTCAATGATGCTCTGTTGCATGAGTGCGCACAACCGATCCTGAAGGGTCTGACAGACTGCTGTAAAGGCCCGAATGCTCTGCGTAGCGAACTTGCCGGATCACCTGATTTCTGGACCATTCTCAGCAGGCTTTCAGGAGTGCCTGATGCTGCTGGTGACGTGTTCCAACTCGTCGAAGACCTTACCACTTCGCCTCAACCTGGCATCACTGCTGATAATTACGAGGCTGCGATTGCGCTTCTCAATGAGTTCGCAACTGCAGCTCAAGTTGGGGCTCGAGAAGAGCAGTTGCATGATCAGGCTGCACGACGCAACAAGGGCCAGAAGCCTAAGAAGCTTGAGAGCAACGAAGTTGTCGTACGTGGCAGCACTGCTATGAGCATTGTCTTCCAACTTTCCAGCAGGGTGCCAAACTTTATCGAGCAGTCTCACCTTGAGACTACTGAAGGTAGGAACACTTCTCTCTTCACCAAGCATCGAGGCGCTAACATCTTTTCAGCATGGACCGCGTACTGGTCTCCTATCCTCAAAACCCTCGCACATCAATGCCTCAACCCTTGCCGCTCCCTGCGCCAGCAAGCCTTCTCTTCACTACAACGTACCCTTCTTTCCAATGACCTCGCCTCACCCGAGCACCGAGAATGGACCGCGATCTTCAGCGAAGTCCTCATACCCCTCATCACCCAGCTGCTCAAACCAGAAGTCTACCAATCTGATCCACTGGGCATGAGCGAGACTAGGATCAGGGCCGCCACACTTCTGAGCAAGGTCTTCCTGCACTACCTAGTGCTACTTGACGGCCTCTCAGGCGAAGAGAATGAAGAAGGGGAAAAGAGCCTGTCTTTCGAAGACTTGTGGATTACAATAGTTGGCCTCATGGATCGCTTGGGCAATAGCGGACAAGGCGACATGGACGAAGCCGTTGCCGAGAACCTCAAAAACATGCTTTTGGTACTTAGCAATGGCGGATACCTCGCGCCACCTGACGAAAATCCCGAACGCGAGGAACTTTGGCACGAGACGTGGAAGCGCATCAACCGCTTCCAACCCAACCTCTTCGCTGAGCTGTTCCCAGAAGAAGCTGGAAAGCCTGCGAGACCGCGACCGAGTAAGGATGAGCGGGCGGCGAAGGCCGAGCCGGTGATCGATGGCAGAGAAATGGATGTTGCTGAGAGGAAGAAGGGAGGTAGCAGTAGTGGCGAGACTGCGGACGGTAGTGAAGATGGTGAAGAGGAGAAGGATAAGGCGGCTGAGAAGGAAGGCTAGCATCTTCTGTATCACTTTGGCGCCAGATGAGAGGGGTTATTGGTATGTGATTTTAGCATTGTTATCGCATTGCAGCATAGATGGTATGAGAAGTAATGAAGAGAATTACAGGACAACATACAGAGCATGATTTCCCCTTCGCTGCTTCGTGGTCTCATTGGTGTCAGAGGCTCGCATCACTTACTCGTCGAGATGGTCCACATGGGTACCTGGCAGTTAGGTAGATTGAGATCTTTAACAGTACGGCACAAGACTTCATACACATCAACTCATTGCACCAACGAAGAAGATAAACGGCATCATGATCGAAAAGCCCTGCTACTTGGCTTGGATGTATACACTTCATCAGTTTCTCGCAAAATCTACATTGAAAACTTCCCCATCCCCTAGCCCCTCGTTCACTTCAAGCATGAGCCATGGCAGCAGCAGCAGCGGGAGTCTCGGCGGGAGCTGCTTCTGCGGTAGTCATAGGCATCTCAGCAGGGGGTGCCTCAGCGGGTGCCTCGGCGGGTGCTTCGGCAGCGGCTGTCGTCTCTGCTGGGGCTTCGGCGGCAGATGTCGTTGCGGGCGCTTCTTCAGCGGGTGGTGCCTCAGCTGGCGCCTCCTCTGCAGGGGCTTCAGCAGGAGGGGCGGGAGGAGCAGCAGCGGGATCCTCTGGGGGTGCAGGTACGAAACTACCAAAGAGTCAGTGTCTGTATGACCGGGGAAACAAGCAGGAGCGTAGAAGCTGGGAAGACTTACGCAGCAGCATCCAGAGCAAGTTTGCCCGCAGTTCCGCCGACGACGTCGGTTCCATCAGTGCTCGATTCGCTCTGCTGGCTCAACTTGACATAGTCGGCCAACTGTTGCGTACTGGCAGGGTTGACCATCATAACCTGACCCTCCTGGCAATGCGGTCCAGTAGCACAGTACAGGAACATGGGGTCCGCACTAGTGATGGGCATGTTGAAGGTTCCGACATCTGTCTGGCCGTCCTCGAAGGGGATGTGACCGCTGTGGATACCGCCTTCCATGGGAGTGCATGCTGTATCGGCGGTTGATTGCGTGACGGTGTGGTTGCCGTTGGAGAACTGGAATTGGACAATGTCGCCGACTGCTGCGGTGATGGTGTTGGGAATGAACGTGTCCTGGGGTCCACCGACGATGACGGGGATGATCTGGCTGGCGCGGCGAAGTGGGTTGGCTTGTGTTTGGTTAGCAGAGAACAAATGAAGACATGTGTGTATGACGTACATTTGATGCTAGGCAGTCTGTTGACAGTCCTAAACGCCGGGCCTGGAAGCGCACTCGCCGTAGCGATCAAAGCGACAGAGAAGATGGTTGACTTCATTGTGTAATAGCAAATAGCTTGAGTTACAAAAAGGTATCGAGGGTATATAAATAGGAGCTAGACTACCGTTCAACGGTATACTGGAGAATCGAAAGTAGAGATTATGTAAAGACCGTTCTACGGTTTGCGTAGTCAAAAGAGCGATGCGAAGAGAATGAAGGATAGAAAGACACCAACTGAGCAAAAACCCACCTACAAGTACCTTTAGCTCATATACGCTTGCGTCCTCCACTATCACATCCTCCACACGCCCGAATCAACCCTTTGCCTCCTCTATCCACACCATGAATCTTGCCTACGTAGCTTACCTCCTGCCCATAACATCTCAAACGTTGAAAATGGCCTGAGGAATCTTAGGGCAGCCACAGGCCAACCTATGGCGCACAGCCATGTGGATACCCGAGCTGTAAGACCAGGGCGGCCAAGCTGTCGCATTGTTGCACGTAGCCTAAACGATGTTTGACAGCCTTGTTTGCCAAGAGAAGGCATGGGAAAAGCGCATGGGTGAGGCGGTTGGATGCCGTTTGAAGATAAGTGGGGAGAGGAGTGCCGAGTTGCATCATGGTCGTTTGGAAACCTCAAGTGCCTTACCAGGCGTGGCGCTTAGGCTTGGGAAGGCAGAGGCGGGTAAACGGCAGGGTATGTTTGGGCGATGGGTGAACTCATATCCTGAAGTGGTGATGCGCGCGCTGATGGATTTGATGGAGTTGTGGGTTTACGGGATGGTCGAGGTCTGGGAAGGAGCTTCGATGACGCCCTTCGCTGGAAATAGGACTCGCAAAGATTCGCAACACCAATATTCTTCCTAACGCATCAATTTATCATGTAAAAAACAAAAGCGCATTCACGATGCGATCGAAGCTGTGGATACCCAGGGGTCTGGCAAGCATGTCGCAGGAGGTCGGTGCTTGGTTCCTGCCTCGGTAGACGGCCTGGAAGCTGGAAGCGGGAAGCGAACGTTTGGGTCCACCGCGACCCGCGGTCTCCTGTGAGTCCGCGGTCCTCCGTACACCAAACACTACATGTCCGGCTTGGCTCAGCGCATGACTACTGCTTTTTTGTGAGTTATGCGATGGTGAATCAAATGGGTGTCTATACCGTAAGATGGATATAGCCTCCACTTGCCGACACCCGGAGATTCCTCTCTATGAGGCATGATTAGTATTGTCTCCATGACGACAGCAGCTGTGCACAGATTGGTGGGACTCTCCTATCTGCTACTTTTTGGACGTCGCGTTTCGCTCCAGTAGCTGCGAGCGCATCGTTCGCACTCAATCAAAAGCTCTTGTTGTCCCTGCCAGGTTTCTCGGCATGGATGGAAGGTTGAAATGGTTGATCCCGATGACGGTTGAAATGGTTGATCCCGATGACGGTTGCAGTATGTTCTCTATCCTCGAGGACGTAGACAGGCGCCAAAGCCATTCTCAGTATCGCTTGATTTTATTCTCGTGAGCGAAACCTTATCTGTCTTTCTCCTTGTGTAAAATAGGAACTGCTAACATTCTGGCCTGAGGCTTGATCTGGGTATGTAGGAGGCGCGCTGTTAGGTAAACAGAGAAGACGAGATGTAAGGAAGGTGAGTCGCCGTCACCCGACGACGACAAGAGGGATGGAAGCAGATCTTGGGTTGTCGATAGTCAGAGCTGACATGTATATGCACGTGACATTACTGTTCAGCTTCGCCGCACAGCTTTATCTCATAAATTAGACGCCCCGCAAAAAACCTCGCTTACAAGTCCTTGCAGCTTCTAAAAACTTCTTAGCTAATTATAGAGCTAGCGCATAAACTAAACTTCTTAGCTAATAAGAGCTAATTATATAACACTTATAGTAAGGCTTTTATAGAGCGTCTAAGAAAAAATAGCAAGACTTTTAGTAAATAAGTATTTTAAATTATAACTTTAGTAAAGTTTGCTTATTAGTACTATAACGCTACTATTTTACCTTATTATAGTATTAGATGTAATAAAAAGCGTAAGTTTTTCTTAACACTATTATATTTATTAGGTCTAATTTACGTATAGTGTTAATAAAGAAGTATAGTGTTATAAAAAATAACATTTTAGCTCTTTAGCGTAATTATATCTTGCTAATCTACTTACTATATTTTACCTACTTTATACCTACGCTAAAACTTCTATAAAGCTCTATAAAGTTCTATAAAGCTTTATAACTCTCTATAAACTTTTATACTAGTTATAGTTATATTTACTATACGCGTTACGTTGTAGTATTATAGTATTATAGTATTATAGTATTATAGTGTTACAGTATTACGTATAGTAGTGCTATAGTACTCTAATAGAAACGTTATAGTATTATAGAACACTATAGACTTCTATAAACTACTAGGCTAATAGCTAGCTACTAAGGCTTATAGTAGATAGATTAGCTACTAGCTATATAGTAGTAACTTTCTTAGACTTCTATAAACTTCTATAAAGTTCTTTAGACTACTAGCAACTTCTATAAACTTTTATAAAGTTCTTTAGACTACTAGTAACTTTTTATAGCTAGTTATTTTTATAGAGTAGCTATAGCAAAGCGTAAGATAAAGTAAAAAGTAGATAAATGTAGTAGATAGCACTAGAGTTACGCTATTACTGCGCCTAAGCGTATAGTAATTAGGTAAGCTACGCTTCTAATTAATTAACGTATTACTACAATTCTAGATATAGAATTAGAGAAACTTTCTCTACTAGTAGAGAATATAAGATAGAAATAATATATAGTATTATAAGAGTAGATTATTTAGTGTTATCTAAGGCGTGTGCTATTCTATAGTTATAGTAGTAAGGCACTTAAACTATATAATAAGTAGATACACGCTCTTTAGTGTCTTATCTACATAAGAGGTAATATGTTATTAATTACTACAACTAGCTTTAGTAAGAGCCTTATCTTCTACGCGTATTTAGTATTAACTAGAAAGATTATACTATAGTTAATACTACTCTCTAAGCTAGAGAATAAGTAGCTTAGTAATATACGTTGTCTTAACAGCGTAAGACCTTACTTAGTTAACGTAAGAACTTATACTTAGTCTTATAAGCTTATTAATAAGATTATCTATAGTAAGTATACTTATATATTAATAGAGCCTAAGCAGGTATTTAGTTATATTTTCTAGACTACGTTAAGAGACATAACCTTCTAGTTATAGATTAGAATTATTGCAATTAATAAGTACTATCTTATTATCTAGTAGAAAGCATTCTATTCTGCTTTTATATAGCTAGGTAAACTTTACAGCATTCTTACGTAAGACGTTAATTAGTTTAGTTATTTAGCTACGTTAGATCTTAACTCTACTAAGTAGGTATTAGACACTACTAGTTTCTACTATCTAGAGCGTAATGCTTATAAGACTAAGTTAATTTAAATAACTATTAATAGGCCTAACGCGTCTATAACTATTATAGAGATACTATCTAGCAAGTCTATATTATAGAATCTTTTTTTCTTCTTGCTACTACTATCTATAACTAGAGAGGCTGCTACACCTATAACGTAGCCTAAGATAATTATCTTTATTAATAGAAGAACCTAACTCTAGAACGCTGTAGAATAGGCTATAATAATACTTATGTATATAATAAAGAACTTTCTAGATAATTAACGCTATAGCACTAACCTATTAGCTAGAGATTAGTGCGTATTTAACGTAGTTAAGACGTATACTATCTATATCGCGTAGTATAACAAAGATGCAACGTATAATAAGTTTAAGTATTCTACTTCTTATATCTATATTGTCTTTGCGATAATATCTCTTAAAATAGATATAAACCTACTAGATATTATAAGAGTTGCAACGTAGAATATACTAATTACTAAGAGTATTATAGACTTATAGTAGTAAATTAGTTATAGAGAGAAAAGCGCTAGGTACACTAGCTAAGTATTTATCTTTCTTTTGTACTAGCTTTTTAACTATAATAGAGTTAATTAACTAGACGTTATAGTAGTTCTAAAGCTAAAGCTTCTAGCTTAAGTGTAATAGTCTTATTATTAGCTTTTATCTTTACGCGTAGCTAGTAGACTCTTATAGATAGTAACGCCTAGTAACATTAATATATCTATTAGCCTATCTACGTCTTAGTCTATAGATAATAAAGTAGTGTCTTAGGTAAGGTTATCTAAGAATAGTTATAAGTTCTAGTCTAAAACTAATAGATAAAGGCGGGTAAATATACTACTATCTTAGCTAAAGGTTATAAGCAACAGCTATTACTATTACAGGTTTCTTAAGTAGCTAGGTAAATACACTATACCTATAGACTAGCAACCTTATATAGCGCTAGAGGCCTACTATTCTAAGTATACTTAGTAACTAAAGTAGTAGATTAAAGAAGCTTCTAATATTCTTATTAGCTCTATAAAGCCTTATAGAGGTACGCTTACTAACCTAATATATACTTAGATTAGAGTATTTATAGTGTAGTAGGTAATAGTACTCTTATATAGAGAGAATTAATAATTTTCTATACTACTAGGTGTATATATAGACTAGGTTACGCGTATCTAGATTAGCAATACATTAGTAGATATAGATACTAAAGCTAATAAAGACCTAGCTTTTCTAGATAGTATTAACTAGATACTATCTTTATATATATAGTAGTATTGCGACATAGACAGCAAGGTAGCACTATTACTATATTAACTACGTAATATACTAAATACTTCTTAAGTAGAGTATAGTGTACTTCTAAATAATAGAAGATAGTTAAGAATAATAAGAACTTAGAGTATACTATTAGAATCTTAGTTATCTACGTATCTACCTTTGCTAGACTAGCGTATAGATAATAATATAGCTACTAGTATTATAAGAATAAACGCGTAGGTCTAAGTTAAAGCGTTTATTAATAGTCTAAATAGTAGTGTTATAGCTCTAGTTCTATAAGACGCTAGTCTCTAGATTATAGTAGACTATTTAGCGCGCATCTATTGTAAATCTAATTTAATACTTTCGCTAATAGTATCTTAAATTCGCA